TTTTTACTAAAGGTTTTGGTTTTATTTCTTCTATCAGAAGGCAGCCTTTTCAGGTGCCAACTCTGAGCTGAAGCTAAACCACATCAGATTAGAACATAAGGCCTACGTTCTTAACTGGAGGGTGAATAATACATCCGTGGGGTTGGGGACATAATGAATTTCGTGATTGTTTGACGTATTTATATTGTCTGTTTTTATGAGAAATACTCTTGGCCACAAGGTAAGAGCTTAAGGAATTTGGAAGTGCTGAGTCTTGCATCACATATATGTCGTATTCCGTGTTTCTCACCTGAAAAACTTACGTATTTTTCTCTGAAAGGAAAGGAGGAATATGTGTGGATGTACACAGTCTGTGCACTAGGCAGCTTGCAGGGAAACGTGGACGTACAAAGGCAACTTGATGCATCGAAGGTAACGTATTTAGAGTTAAGTGTTAGAGAGGAAGTGAAAAGAAAACAGAGCGAAAGGCTGGGGATGAGTTTACAGCCAGCTCTATTGGACATCTTGATATCTGTCAGCTTTAGCAGTGCTGTGGATGGAGGGAGAAAGCTGCTTGAAACACTAGTTTCCTTCAAATTGAGTTTCAAACATTGACCCACAGCCTATTGAGCTGAAAGTGGAAGAACTCCCATTGATTCCTGTGGGCTCCAGATCAGCAGTAGAATACATTTCAATAAGCATCCAAAGCGTAATGGCATTCCCGTGCACCTAAAAGATGAGAATGGTCATGTTTTTATTATAAGGTTCATTAAAGACAGTTGTATAATTCTGGTTCAGTTTTTAAGAGGGCAGTTACGCATCTGCCAACCTGATAGTACCAAACCAGAGAAGGAAGTGTCAAGCGGGAGTACTTATGGGGTTTTTATATGTTTTTTTCCTTAAACCCCCAGCTGCTGGGGTCATGTGAATATTGGAGAATAGCTGTTTATTTTTCAATTCTATTTATAATCTTCATCAATGCAACTTCCCCCCACACTCTGGGAAAAGCAGCTTTGTAACTGCTGAAAGGGAAGGTAAAATTAAACTCCCTTTTTTAATTTCCTGATTTCAAAATTATTTTAGCTTTGATTTGGGGGATGTTTGGAACTGGCATTAGACTCAGATTACAGATTTTCTTTGCAATTATTGGGAATTGTGCTGCCCAAGGAGAAAAAAATGTACTACTGTGTGCAGAGTCTCCTGGATGAATTCCTGCTTTTCTGCCTGCAATGTTGCTGGGTTTCTGCTGTTTATACACTGATGCCAGTTTGGGGCAAGAACCCTATAACTTTTCTTTGTATCCGTGACAATTAAGGAGGTAATGTTCCAAGAATGTTTTGAAGGCATGAAGTTATACCTTACTTCAGTGCTAAAGGTCACGAAGAACTGAATGTTTATGTCACAGATTGCTTTAGATCAAAGCAGAACTCATTGCAGCATGTGCTGAGCTACCTGAGCTAATGTTACTTGCTTGTGGTGATCAAACTAAAAGGGCTTTATGCAAGCCTATCTAGGACTCCAGATGTAACAGAAGCTTAAACTACAATGAAAGACAAAGAAATCTGATTAAAAACCCTTGCTCTTCAGCTGTAATGCAAAAACTGAAGACCAATAGTGTTCATCTCCAATCTTCTGTTATCAGTTTTGTATTTGTTTTTCAAATGTCAGTTGCTGGAATTGTGTGATTGTATTACACCTTCAGCTTAAAACTATGTCCGAACTCTTCTTAGGGAAGGTCCTTCTACTCCTCTTCTTACAGTTCTTGTGAGGGAAGTGACTGCTCTGGAAGGGAGGGTGGAGCAACTCACGAGATGTCCAGGTAAGACCCAAGAAGTACAGTCTTTCCATGGTTTGTCCCTGATTCCTCTCCTAGCCAACAGCAAATAGGGCATTACTGAAGAGGACTCATTACTGAATGTTTGCTTCTGTGGTCATTGCACAGTGCCTGAGTGCCACGGAGCTCCCAGAGGTCTTGCTGTGAGAGCTCACGGTTGTGCAGTATCCAGACAAGCAAGAAAAAAATGAGCCTGCCCTTCGGACCAAAGCTGTGAACTCTGTGCTCTGTAAGAGACATCAACTGATATGACCAAATAACAGGTTCTGGAAGACTTTGGGAAAAACTGACTGCTGGCTATCTCCCTAGCTAGTAATTGTCTTGCAAATGTCAGTAGGGCGCTGAAATTACGCTGTCCTGGTAATGCCTTGGGTAGGATCTTGCACCCAAGGAAAAAGATCCTGTAAAAGCAGTCTGCTGCTCAAAATTACTTCCAAGGCTGGCAATATTTTGCTCTGAGATTTCGAAATCTTTTGGAATAAGCTGCCCTTTTCTGTAATGAATTGAAAGTGTCCTGAAGATTGATAAACACAATTTTGCCTTGACTCCCCACTGGAAAAAGTCCCTGAAGGAATTTGGCACACATTGTACATGGGAAATCTAGTGCTTTTATAGATATTTTTAAGCTGCATAAAGATTTAAGGGTGTAATGTACTGTGTATTGAAGGTTATTAATTTTTAGCTGGTTCTTGCAATTGGGCTCCTTTAAATGTCACTAGTCACGTTTTTAAACTTATATAAGGCAAGGGGGGGTTGATAAGGCTATAAGTCCATCAAGCTGGAACGTTGCCTTAAATTAAGAAAAAAGAAATTACCTGTCTGGTATTATTGCCCATGCACAAGCTTTGCAATGCCTTTCTCGTAACACTAAGAGCGATAAAGAAGACTGTGACAGACTTTGTTGAGTTTGGGCTTGTTAGAGGGCAAGAATTACATTTTCTCCTTGCTTCCCGGAAAACAGAGGGAAAGACAGATTTCAGGGACACAAACATGCGTTCCCCAGTGCCCTGCGAGAGCAGAAAATGTCCCTCCTAATCACCATAGAGTCCTCCTCATCACTGGAAAGATGAGATTTGATTACCGTTATTTTAGCGAGTGTAATTATCAATGGCAAATAAGAGTACACCAGCCTTTTCCTTAAAAATACAGGCAGCCTAACTCCATCCTGGTAAAAGAATTAAACAGAAAGACCGAAGTAGATCGGTCAATAAGGAAACCCAGACACCTGTGGTTTAGGTCCTAAGTGGAGTAGCAGTACCAAATGTTCCTTCATTTCTTTCTCGTGCAGTTGTTTCACTAGTCCTTAATGCCATTATTTGCTTTGATGCCCTGGTGGCTGGCGTTTTAATAATATGTAGGCAGGTTAAAGTAAATTAGTCTACAGAAGAGAATTATGCCAGTCATTACTGGAGTCAAGGGATACATTACACCTTTGTCATTACTGTGCTAAGACATATTCTGGTGTGGCAAAAATAAAACTGCATTTGAGGCAGGCAGAGCACAGGGTTCTCTCCCACAAAGTAGCTGCCAAGCAGCCCTCCAGTGCTAGCTCAGCACTTCTGCGGTCTTCAGTGAACTGCAGAGAGGGATGTGAACATTATCCACTAGCTTCAGAGGCGTGATCAGCTTCAGTGGCTTTAAGATACATCACCCTAGGCAATTATTTAGGTGACTTTAAAAATTAAGCAAGCAATATATATATAATTTCTTGTTTATTTTTGTTGCATGATTGAACTACGGGTAAGACAAGTTTTCTAAATAGCTACAAATAAGCTGCTAAATGCATTCATGCTTCTTTTAGTAATTTTTGTGTTTTTCT